GGAGTTCGGGGTGCGCGGGTACCCCACCATCAAGTTCTTCAGGAACGGTGACAAGGCGGCTCCCAAGGAGTACACGGGTGAGCGGGTGCCGCCGCAGGGAAGAGGGCAGCGACGTGGCAGCAGGTCCGGGTACCTGGCCCCACGCTGCGGTCCAGGGTGACGGCAGCCCCGGGGTGTGGGGTGGGGGTGCCGCAGCTGGTGCGCTCTGCAGGGCTGTTGTGCTGTGGTGCCGAGGAACAAGTCCACCCTTAACGGGCTTTGTCACCTAAAGCTGGAGAAATCCCACCTGGGAGCTGGAGCAGAGGGAATTGTGTTGTGTGGGGAAGCCAGGCAGTCCAAGCCTGAGCTGCTCAGCTTCTCTGATTGAGAATTGAAGAGGTGCTTGGGCAGCTGGGCAAAGAGGTGGGCACAGATGTGAGAGGAAGGCGTGAGGAAGACCAAGACAAACAGAGCTCAGCTAAGCTGAGCCATGTTGTGCTGGATGCCGAGGGCAGCGTGGAATACTGATTTTGAAAGGAAAAGGTGATACTTGCATCTTGGAGAAGTGCTGTGCTGCTGGCCAAAGTTTAAAAACGTGTCGGGTGAGCAGCAGGAGGAGAATGGGATCCTGGACGCCCCTTGTACCTTGACTTAGCAATTATGGATCAGGTTAGTTGCACTGGGAGTGAAAGGAGAAGAGTTGCGTAAACGATATCAGGGTTCTTCCTGACCTCTTGGCCGGCTGCTGAACAGGCTGTCTCAGAGCTTAGGGGGTTTGTGTTCTTAAACTTCATTGGGGGGAAAAGTGAATCAGCGTTCTTATCTTTCCACTGCAGCGGGCAGGGAAGCCGATGACATTGTCAGCTGGCTGAAGAAGCGCACGGGCCCGGCGGCAACCACCCTGACAGATGCTGCTGCAGCAGAGACGTTGGTGGACTCCAGTGAGGTGGTGGTGGTTGGTTTCTTTAAGGTAGAGTTTGTGCCTCCGTTTGAGAAGCTCTTGTGTGTGTCTGGGGCCTTCCCTGCTTTCTGCCCCGTGGGGAGCTGCCGGCTGGGGAATGCTCTCCCCACGTTGTGCAAGGCTGCTGTCCTGCCTTTCTTGATCTTCCAGTTCTCTGACTGGTAAGCCCTGGGATGTTTGTGCTTCCGTTTGATGTGTCCCCATGTTCCTGCCTTTCTTTTCCAGGATTCGACATCAGAGGCTGCGAAGGAGTTCTTGTCGGCAGCAGAAGCTGTGGATGACATTCCTTTTGGGATTTCCTCCAGTGCCGATGTCTTTGCCAAGTACCAGCTGAGCAAGGATGGCGTGGTGCTCTTCAAGAAGGTACTGGTTGGTGTAAAGCATGAGCACCACACTGGAGTCTTCTGCCTCCTCTTACCTTTTCTCTAATTAGTCAGCTTCAAACGAGGGCTGCCCTGGATGAAGCAGCAAAGGACCCTGTGCGGTCAGTCCAGCTGTTTCTGGGCTGCAGAGCCTGAGGGACCTGCAGCCACCAGCCTCCTCGGTCTCTCTGTCCAGACTGCCATCCCAAAGCTGCTGGGCCTTGGGTCTGAGCTGTTGCTTCACTCACTTCCCTGTTTCTGAGATATCTGGCTGCAGTGCGGTTAACAGTCAGCGCAATTGTTAAAATATTCCTGGCTGTAACTGGTGAGGCCTCCTGTGCCCCTCCCTGAGCTGCAGAGGTCTGAAACAGAACAGCAGCCGAGCTCTTGACAGCTTGCCACGGTGCTGTTTGGTTGTGGCACAGCGAAGTTGCTCTGAACGCAGTCGGTACTGGCCTCTGCTGCAGTCAGCCGATGGTGTGTCCCAGGGTGTTCTGTCCCTCACGCTGCTCTGGGCTCTGCGGTGTCGCAATTCCAGCGAGTTCCGGAGGGGATTTGCCCTTCCAGCTGACTGGTTGCATGCAGACAGATGCTGCCTGTCTACAGAATCGGAAATAAACTCACTGATGCCTTTTACTGTTAAAATCCAGGTCGCTGGGGTGGAATTCTAGGTTTGAGGAAACAAGGAGAGGTTCCTCAGACATGTGGGTGTGGTGGGGCAGGACAGAAAACTGCTTTGGGCTTTGGACTGATGAAATCTGTTCCCTGATCACAGTCATCAGTCTGACTAATTCGACATAAGACAGGCTAAAGAGTTCAATTAATTCTTATTTAGTTCTTCCCTTTTTTTAGCTAGAATAGCGTATTTTATTCCACTGCACCTCTGAAATTGTAGCTCAGTTGTTTCTGTGGTGGTGGAAGCTTGTGGACTTAAATTCTCAGAGGTCCCTCAGATCAGTGTGGCTGAGGGTGCAAGTTACCTGGCTGAGGAGTTTGGCGCAGTAGGGTTTTGGAACTAGAGAAGTTGGGGCGGGTGAAGGGAGCAGTGTTTTCTTCTTGTCTGACTTACTGCCTGTATCTCGCTCTTCTCACGTGTGGAGGTTGCTGTATGTATATTCCTGTGTGCGCTGTCCATGGCAGACGTGAGGCTGAAGTAGCTGTTGGCAGGGATTTTCTCAACTTTTGTCCAAGAAGAACACACCAAGAGAACCACAGCCCTCGCTGGGGCTGTGGGGGTACCCACATCAGGCTCTGGGCAGGGCAATGTACTAGGTTGCTGTGAAGTTAATTTCCAGTGCGAAGTGTTTTGCTTGGCGTTTTGGTTGAGACCGGTGTGCTTCCTCTGACAGAGGTTTTCCCAGTCCCCTCTCCGCCTCTGCCAGTACCTCGAGTGTTGCCTGGCCGTGGGGCTGCTGTTTTCCTCTCTTTAACCTCAATGATCCTCCCCAGCTGTTCCTTTTCCAGGCTGCCAGAGTTCTGAGAACCCTGGTCAGGGATGCAGGTGGTGTCCCAGTATAAAAGGGACCTGGCACCTCTAGCACAGCGTGTGTTCAGCACGTGCTGTTGTCTCCAACAACAGAGACTGAAACCACCTCACGGGGCTGAGTGAAGTACTGTGGACCTGCACTGCGCGGTGGGCTCTGCTATTGGGTGTCTTCCACAGCGCTGCTGGGTTAAGGGTGTGTGCATCTGCTGAGCAGAGCGCTGCCTGTGCGCTGGGAGCTCCTCGCTGCTCTGTACAATGCCTTTGGCAAAGCTGTGGGCAGCTGCTGAAAGTCCTTGGTGACATGTCCACAAACCATTTCATGGCTGTGTGGAACAGTGACGAGATCCCAGATGATGTCTGGTTGCTGCTCCCCTTCTGCTGTGTTGTGGTTTAACCCCAGCCAGCAGCCGAGCCCCACGCAGCTGCTCGATCGCTGCCCCCCCAGCTGGGATGGGGGAGGATCAGAATGAAAGTGAGGAGACTTGTGGGTTGAGATGAAGATGGTTTAATAGCACAGCAAAGGAAGAAATAATAAAAGAATATCCAAAGGGAGTGCTGCCCAGTACAACTGGTCACACCTGCTGACGACACCCTGCCAGTCTCGAGCAGCAGCCGCAGCTCCTGGCCAGCTCCACTGGGTTATATACTGAGCATGACACCATGTGGGGTGGAATATCCCTCTGGCCAGCTCGGGTCAGCTGTCCCGGCCATGCTCCCTTATGCGCTTCCTCGCTGGCAGAGCTCGGGAGGCTGAAAAGTCCTTGAGTTCCTGTAAGTGCTGCTTGGCAAGAACTCAACATCAGTGTGTTATCAACATGATTTTCATATTAAATCCCAACCACAGCACTATACCAGCTCCTAGGAAGAAAATTATCCCAGCTGACACCAAAACCAGGAGGTGATGTGAGGCTTTGCTTGCCAGGAGGGTGAATACCTTGATCCAGATGTTATGTGACCGTGTGAGGTGGAAGTCTGCTCTGAACAACTGCAGCTGAGAGCCGCTGGGGCAGTGGCTCTGGTGTGGAACCATCTTATTCCTTGAAAGATTGTACGGGACAGGGAAGTGTTCTAATGCCAGGATGTCTGTGTTTGCAGTTTGATGAAGGCCGTAACAACTTTGAAGGGGATCTCACGAAGGATAACCATCAAGTCGAACTCGTTGCCTCTGGTCATAGAGTTCACGGAGCAGGTGGGTCTCTGGGGACTGGGCAAGGCCTCTTCCTGTAGCTGCTGTACGAATGGAACAGCTTAAACCATGGGTTGTGTGGCTGTGTTTGATCTCGGAGCTGACACTAGTTGGGGGCTATGGAGAAGGGTGAAGGAGGCACAAGCTGTTCAGAGCAGTGCTGTGGTACTGGAGGCCCCTGTGGTCTGGTCAGGACAGCAGAGCCAGGCTGGTCTGGACACTGGTTACCTCTCTTTCAGAAACAAAGTTTGTTTTCTTCTCCTCAGACTGCTCCAAAAATCTTTGGAGGAGAGATCAAGACTCACATTCTGCTGTTCTTACCAAAAAGTGTGTCTGACTACCAAGAGAAACTGGACAACTTCAAGAGTGCAGCTGGGAACTTCAAAGGGAAGGTGAGATGGAGTCGGTGGACTGTGAGTCGGTGACCACCGCCGGCAGAGAAGGGCAGCACTCGGTCTGTATCCGCTGACCAGCTGTGGAGCAGGACTGGGAGCGATCGCGCTCTCTGCCTGCGCCTCCTGGTAGCAGGTGACCGAGTCACTTGCTGGCCTGTGCAGCGGTTGGAGGAACAGCGGTTAACTCCTGACCTTTCTCCTTGCGGGTGTCACTCTGACCCTACCTTACCCAGCGCCGGTGCCTGGTCTGCACACGTGTTGCTTAAGTGTGCAGCTCCAGCGCTTCTGCTCTGGCAGGTGCCCTGCCCTCTTCCTGGGCTTGGAGAAGGAAGCGGGGCCGGTTCAGCCGCTACGCGGGCCAGTTTGTGTAAAGTATCAGTAGCCAAGAGGTGCTCATCTTCACCATACTGCCTTTGACTTTTTCCTCCAAAGATCCTGTTCATCTTCATCGACAGTGACCACAGTGACAACCAGAGGATTCTGGAGTTCTTTGGCCTGAAGAAAGAAGAATGTCCGGCTGTACGGCTGATCACACTGGAGGAAGAAATGACCAAATACAAACCCGACTCGGATGACCTCACAGCAGACAAGATCAAAGAGTTCTGTAACAAATTCCTGGAGGGCAAGATCAAGGTAACGGAGATAAACGCTGCTGGTGGTAAACCTACTGGCTGAGCAAGGACAAAAAATCCTCCCTGCAAGGAGTTGTGGGGAATATTATGAAGGTCACATGGAGAAAATCCTTCCAGCTAATGTATGGAATATCTTGCGGGCTTTGTGCTGAGCGGGGAAAGGCAGAGCTACCGGGGTGTGAAGATGCTGGGATAGCCAGTGCTGTCCTGGTACCTGAGCACAATCGGAGCCCGCTCTCCTGTTGCTCAGGGTAGTTCTGCTGTTTTTCTGGTTGTTCCCTCTGCCAAGAATCTGTGGAAGGTGTGGCACAGAGTTGAAAGAGCTTTCAGCTCTAATCCGCTGGCGGTGGCCGTACGCGCTGGACTCCGGCAGGGGCTGAAGCTGAGCTTGGCCAGGTGGGAGTGACGCTGCCAGCAAGGCTGCTTCCTCCCTGCAGAGCTCAGTCCCAGTTCTCTGCGCAGGAGCACATGGTGTCCCGGTGTGTGCAGGGCGGGAAGGAGACTTTCTGTAGGCAGGAGAGGAAGCGACCGATAGATCTGATTGTCCACAGCCTATGGCTGAGGCTGAGGGGGGTGGGGGAACTCGGGTTTTCCAGGAGGTGTGGCTGCCTGTACATTCCAAGCAGCAAATCTGAATTTCACTTTTTATTCCAGCCCCACCTGATGAGTCAAGATCTTCCTGAAGACTGGGACAAGCAGCCTGTCAAAGTTCTAGTTGGGAAGAACTTTGAAGAAATTGCTTTTGATGAGAATAAGAATGTCTTTGTGGAGTTCTGTAAGTACCTTTCAACAACTGCTTCCCAGTAGCTGGCACAAGAGGAGTGCCAAAATACTGGACGGCAGGGGTTAGGAAGAAAGCGCCTTACAGAACCTCAGCCCAAAGGGAGTGTCTCTGAAAGGATGGGTGTGAGCTGTCTGGCGGGGGGCTGGGGGGCCGGTGGCAGTAGCTGCTCCGGCTGCGGGTGCTAGCTGTGTTTCTAATGCACAGATGCCCCCTGGTGCGGTCACTGCAAGCAGCTGGCTCCTATCTGGGACAAGCTGGGAGAGACCTACAGGGACCACGAGAACATCGTCATTGCCAAGATGGACTCCACGGCCAACGAAGTCGAGGCAGTGAAGATCCACAGCTTCCCCACACTCAAGTTCTTCCCTGCAGGCTCTGGCAGAAATGTAAGGCAGCAGCTGACCCTTGCAGAGGTTGCAGAACATGGGGGCCACTGGCAGCGCTTAGTTACCCGCTTGGGTTCCCTCTTGGACAAAGCCTCTGGGAGGGCTCTCCCTTCTGCAGGGATGGAACACATCCAGCGTGCTGGACATCCGAGACCCCCAGGGGGGTGGGCTGCAGGAAGGAGTTTGGTGGGGGTGGGGAGCGGGAATGAGGAAAAGAAGGGAGCGCAGCAGAAGACAGTGTGCTCATCTGCAGGCTGTTCTTTCCTCGCAGTGATCTCTGAAGTCTAGTGGCTGAGCTGTTTTCCTTCGTCTCATATGGGTGAAGGTGAATTTTTAAATTCCCTTTTGCTTGGCATGTTAACTGTTGCTCAGAAAGAGAATTCTCCTCTCCAGGGGTGTTTCTCTCTAAGTGCCCATAACCATTATCTTGATGTTTTTTCCTGTGTAGGTAATTGACTATAATGGCGAGAGGACACTAGAAGGCTTCAAAAAATTCTTGGAGAGCGGAGGTCAGGATGGGGCAGCAGCTGATGATGTGAGTAACGTCAGTACAGCACTCTGGGGCTGCAGAGCGTAGAGCATGGGTTGGGTCTGGTGCTCTGCTTGAATCCTCAGCCCTAAATAAGATCCTGGGTGGTTATGTGGTGGGAAAGGATGTTGTTCGTGGGCAAAAGATGTGCCCATCTCATAAAACATCACCTGTCTGTGGCTGTGGCCTGGGTAGCCGTTGGGCTGGAATGGGCTCCTTTTTCTGGTGACACTGCAGTTGGGTGTGAAATCAATGTTCCTGGGAGGCTTGAACACAAATGCGTGGCAGGTGTTGGTGCTCTCACCTCTACATCTGCACAAGCTGTCTGTGGTGGTTGTGCAGATGTCTGGAGTACCTGAAGGGTCTGTTCTTTATTGAGAACCCCTGCCTACACCTGGGGCTGGAACTGTGTGATGAACATGACATCTGCAGTGCAGGCAGTCGGGAGCTCCTCACCGGTGGGGTGGAGGGTGTTACAGGTGCAGGTGCCAGCTTCTGGGTGTTTCTCATCCTTAATTTCCCAAATTTGGGGCTCTTGGTAGAAGTCTCTGGATGTTTGTTAATGTGGCAGCAGAGAACAGCGAGCAGGTTAGAGATGCTGTTCTGGGCTTGGTGTTGGATCTGCCCCATGTGCCAGAAACCAGCAGCTGTCCTGTCACCTCCGCAGGATCTGGAGGACCTGGAGACGGATGAGGAAACAGACCTTGAGGAAGGTGATGATGCTGATGAGCAGAAAATCCAAAAGGATGAATTGTAAAGAGAAGGCTGATCTACATCACCCCAAAAATCAGACACTAAACGGGCTGCTGTTCGGCAGCCCAGCGAGTCAAACCCGTTAAGATTTAAAGCAGAAGGTGAATGACTGGAAATCCAGGGATTGGCTTTTAAAGTAACACTTTACCCTCACTTGTCTGTACACTTGACTCTTTTCTTTCTTTTTGCTTTTGAGAAGGGATCTGTCACTAGGTAGCCAGCTGGGGTCTTTTTTTTTTTTATTGTGATGTACTTTTTTTGTACACAGCTTTTGTTTGAGGTATTCTGTTCTCCTGGGTAGAAGCAGATTGAAGCAGTAGCACGAGGTCAGTGGCCCAGCATTCTGGAGCCTTGCCACTAATATCTTCCCAGAAAGCTTATTTTCCTTTTTCTTTTAAAACTAAAGCCCATAGTTGATTTCTCCACCTGGCAGCATCCTGAATGGTCTCAGCTGTTCTTCCCTGGAACCAGCGTCTGTAGGGGAGGAGGCAGGGGGCTGGTGACATTGTCCTGGTGGGAGGTGGAGAGGAACGTGCTTCTCTTCATGCCGGCCAGATGCTTCCTTCCCCCTCTGCCCTGAGACTCTTGGAGGTGACTGTTCCAGACACCCGGAGAGGGGAACACTGTGCACTGGCTGTGGGGGGCCCTGGGGTGGGGTGTCAATGGCTCACCAGCTTCACTGAGATCTCGCTGCATTGCCATCCTTCTGATCAAATGTGGGACTGCCGCGATCCCTTTCCGTGCGGTATTCTGGGTGGGGTGACTGGGCAGGGGGGTGCTGCGGGAGGGCCTGATGCAGCAGATCAAACGGGACATTCGCCATTTCTGGGGTTTGGGAGGAACTCGAACAGGGGAGCGCTGCAGAGGCCTGAGCGCATCGGTCTGGTTCTTAGCATTCCACTACAGTGACGTTGGAACCGAATTTGTTGGCCAAATAAAGTTGAGATTTTAATACTATCCTGTCCCGGTGTCTCTATCAGAACACAATGGATATATTGGAACCTGACCTGAAAGGGGGTCAGAGTTTGGGGGCGATTCTCAAGGGACTCTGCCAAAATGGCAGCTTTCTCACACTTTCACTAAATACCCCGTTTTTGAGAGAAACTATGCTTCTGAATGCTTCTGCCTTTGCACGTGGCTTCTGGTACCTTGAAGAAACTTGTATTGAATGGTCTGTAAAGGAAAAGAACTTAAAGATGACTGTGTCCTGTCCAGATTAAGTCGGTTTGTCCAGGCAGACAACCCACAGCTCCAGCAGTGTGGGGACAGGGGTGCGGGTGCTGGGCACCAGCGGCTCCTCCTGCCAGCTGGCCCGAGGTGAGCGGACCTCGTGGCTCTGGAGCCATCAACCAGGGAACCCTGGGGCTGCCTGCGGCTCTGCGTCAGGCTCACGTGCCCCAGTGAGCTGCATTGCTATTTCCAAACCCCTTGCTTACTGCTCAAAATATTTTTGTAAGAAAACATGCTGTAAGTGTCACCTGGGAGGGCAGGGGGAGGCTGCTGGTGCCTGTCACCGAACATGGGCATAGTGGGGGTGGTGGAACAGAAGCACCGTACAGTGCTCCTGCAGCTCCAGCCTCCTCCGGCCGTTCCCCTGGGCACGGAGCCCCAGCTGTGTCCTGCTGCGTGTGCGCAGACCCTTGGTGCAGGGGGAGGCAGAGAGCTCTGCTAGTGAGCAGCAGCTTTGTGGGAAGGTGCTGCCCAGGTTCAGGATGCATGACCCATGCTGGGCTCTGCTGTGGGTCTCCTCTTCGTGGTCCTGCCTTCCTCCGCTCGGAGGAGGGGGCTTTCCTCGTGCGCCCGGGATGCTCTGGGCAGAGCTGGACTCCAGCAGCGTTGTCCTGTGTGCGCAGCCGGCTGCTGTTCCAGGAAAGCCCAAGGAGAGCGTCCTGTCTCGGCAGCAGACAGCTCAGCCTCCAGCTGCCCCCGTGTCCGTCCGATGCGGTGCGGAGCAGAGGTGCTCGGCAGAGCTCAGCACGTTTGCAGGAGGTGAGCAAGTGCAGCGGCAGCTCTTGGGTGCCTCTGCCCGAGCTGTCGGCCTCGCTGCTGACCAGGGCTTCAGACGAGGGTCTGCGGCAGACGGGGCAGAATGAAATCTCTGTGACTCCTAACGTGGGATGGGGATTTCTCCTGGCGCTGTGCAGGGGGTTCATCCTGCCCAGGCAAGCCCTGTCCGTGCAGAACAGAGCCCAGTGTGCTCGTGTGTCTGAAGTGACCAAACTGATGGGGAAAAAGCACAGAAGAGCAGCTGTCGCTTGAACCCCCGGCTGGTCTGAAGGGCTCCTCGGGCAGAGGGGCTGCTCTGGCCTCGCAGCTGCAGCAGCAGAGCCACGAGCGC